CAGAGAGAGACAGAGCACAAGTTGGGGAGGGGCAGAGAGAGAAGGAGACACAGAATCCGAAGCAGGCTCCAGGCTCTGAGCCGTCAGCACAGAGCCCAGTGCAGGGCTCGAACTCACAAACCGTGAGATCAGGACCTGAGCCGAAGTCGGACGCTTAACCGACCGAGCCACCCAGGCGCCCCTGTTCTTTTTTTTTAATTGCATTAATATTCTGTTTTGTAGATGCACTACTTAGTAGGTAATCAAGTCCTTCAAGATGGAATTGTAGGTTGTTCTCACTATTCTCCCATTTCGAGCAGGGCTGCAGTGTATAAGCTACAAATAAACACATTCTTTCAAATGTATTGAGACATATCTGCAGAATGAAACCCTGGAAGAATTGCAGAGTAAATACAGTTTTGTAATTGGTGCCACCGAACGGCCCTCCACCCCTCCACGGAGGCTACAACAATCTACTCTCCCAGCAGTGCCTGTTTCCCACACCTTGGCCATCACTCTGTGCCGTCAAACTGGCAGAGTCTTGCCAACCTGACAGGTGAAAATGGAATTGGGGCAGTTTTAATTTGCACTTCTTTTATTACGAGAGGCCTGCTTACCTTTTCATATGTTTAAAAGTTATTTGTATTGCCTCTTACAGGAGAGATTTGTTCATATCCCTTATCTGTTTCATGGAGTTGTGGCTGTTTTTTCCTGATTGGTTTATATGAGTTCTTTGTATATTAAGGAAACTGGCCCTTAACTGCAATGTAAGTTAAAAAATATTTCCCCCCACGCCTGGGTGGCTCCGTCGGTTAAGCGTCCGACTTCGGCTCAGGTCATGATCTCCTGGCTCGAGGGTTCGAGCCCCATGTCGGGCTCTGTGCTGACATCTCGCAGCCTGGAGCCTGCTTCGGATTCTGTGTCTCCCTCTCTCTGCTCCTCCCTTGCTCTCTCTCAAAAATAAATAAACATTAAAAAAATTTTTTTTTTACTTCCCCCCAACTGTCATCTGTATCTTCACTTTGCTTATAGTGATTTTTGCCTTACAGGAGTTTTTTGTTAATGTCATCAAATAGATCTTAGTTTTCCCTCTTTATGGCTTCTAGGTTTTGTTCACTCAGGCAACTCTTTTTCATTTTTTTTCAATCCTTTTTTATTTTATTTTTTTTT